ATTATATAATTTATATTTGGCTTTTAAGATGTTTTCTTTCAAACATTGTGATTTCAGGAAACACTCGATGTTATCATCATATACCGCTGATAATACTAATTGTGATCGCGGGCACTGACAAAGAACGCCCGGGATGTAGTAAAATCCATCTGGCAGAGCCTCCCCAACTTCATTTCAATCTTCCCATCACACCGCGCGCGCTCACTTTTATTCAGGAAACTTCATGTAAGTTATTTGTAAATACTTAAGGAGGCTCTGCGGAGGAGAGAGCCTAGGTGTGCTAACAAACACACGTAATGAAATGAATGTGAGTGTTCAATAACACACCTTTTTAATGAAAACACATCCTAGCCAGGGAACGTCTTTAAAGTTTTTAATTGCAAGCGACACGACACCAAGCATATCGCAAAACAAAGCTTTAAGATTGTGAAGATTAGTTAAAGTCTTTATTCTAAATTATCATTTTGTCAGCTATAACTAAATCGGCATGCCGTTTGGACAATTAAATCTCAGACAAAACTGGCAGGGAATACCTTTTTTTCAATGTGAACTTCGCACACCGAAAATTTAATAAAGGTCTCGTAAGTGTTATCAGTCTCGCCTTCGGCTGGTCGGGTAACACTTACCTCAACCTTGATAAGTATAGGTTATTTTGAGGCAACGAGGGGATATAGATGTGATTCACATATCCCCGAGGTGCCTCAAAATAACGTACTTATTTTTCACATTGCGAGGTCGCGTTAATGAGTCAGAATAGAAATAATTCTTAATGCCATATTGCCTTCGTTATGTTGTTTTTTTTCTCATTTTTTTGTGCTGCAAAGACATTGCAGGTGAATATTAGAGGGGGTTATTAGAGGGAAATTGATTAGAGGGGAATATTGAATATATTTCCCGATAAGAACAAAGGAAACCAAGCAGGGTGAAAAAAACATTCTGGATATCACATCAACTTCATCCACTATTGTTTATTATACGACGCACTAACTCTTTAAAAAGATATACGGTTATTGTACATTTGTATATATAGCTATCATGCACAGTTGGATCCATGCATTATCGAGATGATTTTCGGCTGATAATTAAGATGAGAAGTACAGTTTTTGTAATTTTACTCACCGAATTTGCGAATTTTCTTAACACACTGTTTTCTTGTTCTTGTAAATTTCAAAGCATTATCATTATTCATTTCTTTAGAATTTAATTGTTTTTACAGTCTAAGAACACAGAAATATTTGTATAGCAGGAGCAGCTGGCATGGCTACGCCACTGAGAGCACCAATCAGGTTAACAGCTAAAGCACAACTGCAGCTTTCTCTTTGTTTTACGTATTATAACCGCGTGTTGCGAAGTCATTAACAATTCAGATTTATCAGTGAAAGAAAATTTAGCTTGTATCGATTGTCCTATTGGCCTGGCATCGAT